TTGTTTTTTTTTTTTTTTTAAAGAGTTTTTTTTGTTTTTTCTTTTTTTGCCAGGACCAGCAGTTGATGTAATGGCTATGTCACTGGACTCCCATGTAGTCAACTGTGGTTCAAGTCCCGGACCTGGTGGCTTAAACTCATGCTGGGCACATGTGCGTGTGTGCACAAGATCCCGAGAGGAGAATGGAGGAGAAAGGATTGCAGCGTGGCCATCCTCCCTAGAGGGTGATTTCTCGCTTTCTGTCTTTCTGGTGAACGCACGCGCCCTATAGCAAAAATCTCTCCAAAACTAACTAAATAAATAAAAATTTAAAAAGAGGGTTTTTTTTGCCTTAGGGCACATAAGCTCCTGGAGAAAGATACAGACACAGTGAGAAGGAAAGTGAGAAATCACCCCCAGGGGGGCTGGCCATGTAGCTGCAATCCTTTCTCCATTCTCCTCCTGGAATCTTGGGCATGCACGAACACACGCTAGGTGTGATTTTCAAGCCACCAGGTTCAGGATTCAAACTGAGGTCGGCCATGTGGGAGTCCAGTAATATTACCGCTACCATTGCTGCTGGTCCCCAGACTCATCTTTTCAAAACATAAACCCTGGGACCAGCAGATGGCATAATGGCTAAAACTCCCATGTAGTTGACCGTGGTTTGAGTCCTGGACCTGGTGGCTTAAACTCACACTGAGTGCGTGCGCGCGCACGCACGCGCGTGTGTGTGTGTGTGTGTGTGTGTGTGTGTGTGTGTGTGTCCAAGATCCCGAGAGGAGAATGGAGGAGAAGGGATTGCGGTGGTAAGGCCATCCCCCCCGGGGGGTGATTTCTCACTTTCTGTCTCTCTCTGTCTTTCTGGTGAGTGCATATGCCCTATAGCAAATATCTCAAAACAAAACAAAAGAAAAACCCAGGCTCCTCCCTGTAACCCATAAAGCACTACAGGACCCTGGTCCCTGCAGGCCTCTCCTCCCTCCTGTCTGTGCCTGTTCTGCTCTCATCACACTGGCCTCCCTGGAATTCCTCTGACAATCAGGATCTTCTTTGCCTCCCAGTCTGTCCAGGGTGCCCTACCATTACTTCTTCCTCAGCCACCTATTTTTTTTGTTTGTTTGTTTTTTTGGGTTTTTTTGGAGAGATTTTCACTGTAGGGCGCGTGCGCTCGCCAGACAGACAGAGAGAGACATAGAGACAGAAAGCGAGAAATCACCCCCCAGGGGGGATGGTCACGCCGCAATCCCTTCTCCTCCATTCTCCTCTCGGGATCTTGGGCACGCACGCACACGCGCCCGGCGTGAGTTTTAAGCCACCGGGTCCGGGACACGAACCGCGGTCGACTACGTGGGAGTCCAGCGACATAGCCATTACGCTAACTGCTGATTCCCTCAGCCACCTATTTTTTTTTATTTTATTTTATTTATTTATTTATTTATTCATTTATTTATTTTTTATTTTATTATCATCATAATCTTCTTTCTATTACACTAGATTACATATAACTTTACATTGACTTCCATTGCTTTTTCAAAAGGGAATGCCATGCATGTCAGTCAATACAGAGACATCAATCTCCCCGCTTTATCATTCAATATCCCTCAGCCACCTATTTTTGAATTTTGCCACAGGGTGTGTGTGCTCGCCAAGAGATAGACGAAAAAAGGAAAGTGAGAAGTCATTCCTCATGGTGAACTGTCACACCACAGTCCCTTCTCCTCTATCTCTTCCTCCTACTGTGATTTTGGCTACATGCACACAAGCACACGCCTGGCATGTTTCCCAAGCCACCAGGTCTGAGACTTGAACTGTGCAGTCAGCCATGTGAGATCCAGCTAAACTACCATGCCACTAGCTGGCTCTAGGCAATATTTTCATTGCCACAAATCTCCCAACTTCCCCGCAGCACTGTACTCTATCAATTTAATGACTCGATTATTTCTAATGAGTGAGCCTATCCTACAATATGACCTCTTTCCTCCATTAGGCTGTGGGCTCTCTAAGGACAGGGACTGGGTCTAGCTTGTCCTCTAGAAATTCCCCAGCACTCTGCATGGTACCTGACATTTAGTTTGTGCTCAGTGAATGATTGTGGACTGGCTGATTCTCAAGTGGCCCTTAATTACCCATGA